GGGCATTATTTTTAGAAAACATACACATTATGAGCAGTACAGAACACTCGTTAAAATGATCGGCCACTTAAGAAAACGGTGAACTTTAAACAAAGGTTTGAATGTTTTAAAAGCTGCATAAGCCTGTCAACATTATATTAAAAATAAAACAGCTGTTCAAGAGACACCTGAAAATCAAAAGTGAGGGTGCCTGCCACATCTCTGCTGGAAGAGTGTTCCACAACATGGGACCAGCAACACTAAATGCCCAACTTCTGGTGAGGCTGGTCAGGCCTCTGTAACACAGGGGACAACTAACAACGCTTATCTCTGTTACCAGATTGAGATTTAAGGGTTCAGGTGGTCCTTAAGGTATCCTGGACCCAAGTTGTCCCAGACTTTGTACAGTGACACAAGGGCCTTGAACCTGGCCCAGCTGCCTATGGGCATATGTTGCCATCTAAAGAGCACTACTTACTACCAAGACCATTAAGTCCAGAGTCTAAAATTCCCAGTGGGTAGCCTTTGACAAAGGAAGTTTTAGAACTGGGTTTCCCACTCCTATGAATCTGAAGAAAAACATGCATGTGTTCAACTTTGCAGCTCAGAGTGGAAATACAGTTCAAACTCAAGCATACATAAAGCAAAGAGTTGTCAAACTGTGGTCTGCAGACCACTGGAAGTCCATGATCTCCATTCAGGCAGTCTTCAGAAAGGCTAAACTAAAGCTGAATATCCATTCTTTATCCTGCTTATGTTTTTTATGACTACAGAAATTGAGTCTGGTTTTTTTAAAAAACCTGGGGTAGATTTAGCAAACAGGCTAATGACAACCATGTAGACCATGGGTAGGCAAACTAAGGCCCGGGGGCCGGATCCGGCCCATTTGCCTTCTAAATCTGGCCCACAGACAGTCCGGGAATCAGCTTGTTTTTACATGAGTAGAATGTGTCCTTTTATTTAAAATGCATCTCTGGGCTGCCTGATGTTTTTACATGAGTAGAATGTGTGCTTTGGTTTAAAATGCATCTCTGGGTTATTTGTGGGGCATAGGATTTTTATTTTCCCCCCCAAAATATAGTCCGGCCCCTCACAAGGTCTGAGGGACAGTGGACCGGCCCCCTGCTGAAAAAGTTTGCTGACTCCTGATGTAGACAGTGTGACAAACTTAGATACATGAGCAGCTGTGATTCCACAGTAAACATCAATCTGTAAGCACCACATGTGGCAGTGGATCTACAGGATCTGAAACAGAGACCTTTTCCCAGCCCTAGTGAAAGGTGCCAAGGTGCAAACTTTTCACACTCTCTATGGAAAGTATGTGTTCTCCTATCACATTTGGATGTGTTGTCAACTGCATATTTCTACCTCACAAGCTGTACCAGGAACAAGAACGTAAGGGCCTGCTGGATCAGGCTGCTGGCCCATCTAGTCAACCAGCCTGTTCTCAAAGTGGCCAACCAGTTGCAAGTGGGAAGCCTGAAAGCAGGACCTAAGATTGGGCTGCTAAAACTTATCACCCTTCAATTCAGAATGCTTCTCCTTATATTATAGATGACCTCTGCAAGCAACCAAAGCAGCTTCATTGAAAACTAGACACACACATCTGTGCAGAAGTAGTAATACTGAAACCATTGCTATTTGGCTTAAGTAAATTCTAGTAATAGAACAGAAATCAAACAAAATTTTTGGTAGTTCTGAAATTATAAATTATTTACAGAATTTAACTGTTCAAATGCTAAAGTATTGTGCAGGACAAAGCCTTCTAATGTAAATTTGGTAATCCTTTCAGGAGAAAATTCAGAGTATAGCACATCTGGCAAAATTAAGAATGAGGATCACAAGGAATAATATTCAGAGGCAGGGAGTGTTTGTTAAATGTTACTTATAACTTCCGTTTTAATTTTGATTTCCGATCAGAGAAAATACTTGTTTCATTTGGAATCCAGTATGCCAAGTAATCAGAGCAGCCAGGAATGAAATCCTGTATTTCTCCAAGGAATTTGTTCATCTCTTTAGCAGAAGGATAACCTGTGAAGTAAAGGTTAAAAGGTACACATTTCACAATCTCAATATTGTTTTAAAAAACACAGAAAGAAATGTTGCAAAGCACAGAAAGAAATATTGGAAGGCCTTAAGTAGCTCAATAACAAAGCAATTTATTTTTTTTGGCTGTGCATACATGACTTTAAGGGGAACCCTTGTGTTTCCACTAATGGGACACAATTAGCAACTTGAGAGAAGGTGATTTAAACAGCACAGAGGAACAGGGAAAGAGTTTTTAAAAGCCCTCCACTAGCCCAACAATCCAATCCTACACACACCTGCTCTTAAAATAATGAAATTTTCTAAGAGAGACAGAAAATTCAGGGATAACTCTCTAGTGTCATATTTCATTTTGTCCTGATCCCCATATAGGACAGCTGCATATTCCAGCATTGCAGGGGGTTGGACTAGATGATCTGGCTGGGTCCCTTCCAACTCTACAATTCTATGATCTGGTGTCATAACCCAAGGACAGGAATATAAAGAGAGAGAGATATCATTAATTTAAATTGTGTATATTTGCATGAATAAATGTAATATTATTTTGATGCAGCTTTTTAAAAACTATTAAAACTGGATAAAAAGGATTGCTTCTGGATTGTAAATCCAATTCAATTTTAATATCTGAAATCAATAACAAATTCACTTCAGCCCTTTCAGAAACTGTTGGCAAAACAGATGAAATAAAATAAATTGAATCAGACTAATTAAACCCACACTTCACAGTTTAAAGGTACACTGAGTTCCAGTCTTGTCACTAGAGATAGAGGTTGCCTCTGTGGCATGGAGTGCCTTTTACCAGAAATGTCTGGCTTGCCAGCTATGACCACTTCTGGACAGCAGTAATCTGGCTAGAGTGATGGTTGGATTATTGCAATCTGAGTTATGTGGGACCACCCTTGCAGGAGGTTTGGGAGCTTCAGTTAGTAGAAAATTCACCCACATTACACCAATTCTAAAAAGATTAATTCTTCACCTTTGCTCCTGGGGCCAATTCAAGATGCTGAACTTTACCTAACTAAACTGAGACCTGAGTTCCTAAAGAAGTAGCTATCACAAAGGACTCTGGTCTCCTGCCATTTCTCTAAGCCAGGCTGTCACATATCTCCCACCAGTTCTATTCAAATGCACTTAAGGATGCATGCCTGTAGTGCAGTTTGTGGAGGGTGTTGGGAATTGTAGCTCTGTGAGCCATTAAGCATAGTTCTCAGAATTCTTTGGGAGAAAGAATGTTCCTTCAATTTGCTTTAAATGTATGGTGTATACTGTGTACAGAGCCTGTGTCTCTAGGAAAACCACAGTTGTTGAACCAGGGGTTTCAATAGATTTTTAACTTATCTAACTGAGCAAGTTATAGTCTGCCATTCATTGATGAAGATCAGATGAAAATTTGCTGCTTTTAATCTTTGTTATGTGTTTTATTGTATTGGCTTTATGCTGTACTTAAAACTGAGGTCATGTGCATAATACTGTAGTGATAAATCCTAATAGTGATAAATCCTAAACTACGCTTTGTTCTTACCTATCACCATATTGCTTGCTGGATAATCTTGTAGTGGAATATATGCCATCTTCACTGTTTCTACTGTCCCTGGGATTTGATTGTCTTCACTGTAATTTCAGACAGAAATTTTGCTATTATTAACACTTTCAAAAGCCTTTTGTTTTTTACAACAAGCAATATAACACCAGAGAAGTCTTTTAATTCCAGATTATTATTTTTGTTTTCCATCAGCTTGCTACTCAAGGGACAAGAATCTGCCCTGAAGAAGGAGATTTACAAGAGCATAATTTTTAACTTGTGCTGCTTTGTCTTATCTAGACCCAGCCTCCAGCTATGATTCATCAGACATTTATATTAATGAAGCAAACAGGTTCAAACTGTTAAAAGGCATCCTCTCTTCATAAAGATTCTTGGAACTGTCAATTCCCTGGAATTACTTTGGTTAGAAGTCATGGGAGCTTACTACTGTGAACAGGTTGTGACTTCATATGGAACATGAAATATGAAATTTCATGAATTTTATGAAAGCCCATAATTTCCCCAACAAATCCTGGGAACTGTGGTTTGTTAAGAGGGCTTTGAATTGTAGCTCTGATGTAAACCGCAGTTCCTATGAGTCTTTTGGGCAGTCACATGCCAATATATATCACTGGTGTACACAACCAGCGATATATTCTAAATATGTTGCCAGAAACAGATTTTTTAACTTACAGGATTTCCCCCAGAATGGGAAAATCAAGATGAAGTGGGGGAGCATACAAGCTGGCATTTTGATGCCAATAACATCTTGCAGACACAGAAAAACAACAAACAACAAACCTGCGTTCATGAGGAGCACTATTCCCACAAACAAAACCTGTCCAGAAGCACCATATGATAAAGTGGAATAAAACCAATATAACTGACTTCTTGTAGAGACCGCCCTGTATGACTTCTAGTATGCACTGCCCTGAGACCTCCAGGCAGTATATAAATTCAGTAAATAAATAAAATAATAGGCCAAGGCAATGGAACAAGATGCATTAAGTAACCTGATGTAGACATCTTTTCTGGCTGTGGGAGCTCAGTTAAGCAGACTAACTTTCTTTGGTTCAAATTACTTCCCTTCTGTGAGGGCAGCTAATTAATGCTTTCATATCGGGTATCCAAGCTCAACTTAGAGTAGACCCACTGAAATTAATAGAGTTAAGTTAATCATGTTGATTAATTCCAGTGTTGATTAACTCTGGATACAACTCAAAATCTGGGCACTGTTGATAAAATTACTGTTGGTGGAGTGGTAATGATATCGGACATTTACAATAAAAAATTAAGAATTGAGAACTAGCTGTGGGAACTGACTTTAGCTAATCCATACTATCACTGAACACATGCCACCACCAGTGTATTTTAGCTACTGCATAAAACTACAAAACTCCAACAATATCATCTGATACAAAATATACCTTTTCTCCAACCTTTTCTTGGCCTTTATCTCTTCTTCTACCCTGTGGCACTTTACGTCAACAGGTTGACTGGGCTGTGGGTATAAAAAAATGGCCATAGCTGAAACTGGGCATAGGACTCAATGTAGCAATGCAGTTTTATAAAAGAGATAGGAATTGGCTCCAAAAATATTAAAAGTATTATTAATTATTGCCACCAATCCATGCATTATTCAGTGCTGAGCTACATAACACCAGAGCCAAGCTCAGTCTTTCACTCCTGTGTGGAGAGTCATTGGTACTGAGTTTTTCCTCCTACGGACAAGACTCACATCCTTATTAGGCAATTAGCATGGAGGTGGATGGGTGGGAACAGAGAAAGAAATGGGCAGAAGGAGAGAGTATGGCACTAAAGCAGAGGGAGGGGTAAGCATGCAGAGAGATAAGCTTTGGAGGCTGGTCAGTTAGAGAGAATGGGGCATTGCCCCACCAACCTCAGCCAGGCCCCATCTGCCTGCCTTCCGACTTAATGTCAGGACTGCCCTTATATAAGTGAGCAGGGAGGAGGATGGGGTCAAAACTAGCAGTCCATCTGTCATTGGTTCTGGCTACACCTCTGGCCTCCCTGCCTTTTGTCCCACCAGCTCCAAGGGTCATCAGCCCCCACAATAAAATATTTGAGGGGGCTGGGCCCCCACAAGGTTGATGGGCATTCCCATTCAAATGATGGGACCCTTGGAGCTGGTGCACTTCATCATGTGATTGTTTATTCAGGGTGGGGCTTACCCAGGCCCCACAATATTTTTTTCAAGTTGGTACCCTGGTCATCAGCCATCACTGGAGACAGGCAAAGGGAGGAGCAGATAGAGACAGGCAGAGAAGCACAGAGGGAAAGACAGGCGGCTCTGAAGGAAGGAAGAAAACTACATACCAAGTTCATGCTTTCAGCAAATTTCAGTTATTTCATTTTGGAGTACTATTCCATACTGTACATACAAATGCTGTATGTGAAAATCTAAAATAAAAAAGTTACAGACCAAAACAGATAACTAAATTAAAATTAAAATCATGTAATGTACATTTGATATTATTCTTACCTGCAACTTCAGAGGGTTGGAAATCTGCTCCCATATAAAGCTGCCATTTTTCTGCCTAATTTCTGTAGGGATTGCAAAAGAAAAGAGAATCAGGCTTTCCATGCAGCTTTATCAGATGATGCAGTGTAATGGCCATCACTCACTAACAATGTTTGCTGCTGAAGTGCTTCAAGGACCCATTTTAGTTAGGCAAAAGCACTTGAGGCAGGTGCTCAGCTGCGTTGGTGAGGGATGTGTGGCCTGGTGAGAGTGCCAAGGGTTGGACAGAGAAAACTGAAGGACTGCTTTTCACCCACCATGCCCAAGGACTGCTTTTCACTCACCATTCACCCCATCTTAAATAACAAGTGTAATATTGAAATGGGGGGGAAATACTTGTGCCTACACACCTTGCTGCACACAGGCAGGTAAAAGGAGGAAGTGTCCTAATGCTGTTGAGTTTTTTGTTTCAGAGTTGACACATGCCGTAAGATAAGAAGAATGAAAAACAGTGACTCTGTCTTCTAGATAATCTAAACTCTGGTGTATTCTAGAGGAAGAGGAAGGGTGTTACAGAAATGAATATGAAACATCCAAACAATTGTTTTAATCACAGCTTTCAATTAACTCTCAGGCAGGATGAATTCCTCCAAAGATCAGCCAAGGTAGAGGATTTGGAGGCATCCTTAAATGGAATTACTGTAGTTTGTTTGTTGCTATATTTTTTACCACCACAAGGGAGTGCTGCTAGGATATTTTGCCTTGGCAGCAAAATGCCTTAGATCAGGAGTTCCCAAACTGTGGTCCATGAGCTTCATTCAGGTGTTCTGCAGCCTGTATTTGGATTTGTGGTTGGAGACGGTGCATCCAGCACATTAAATATTCATATTGAGTTTTAATTGCATTTGCATTGTTTATTTCCCACATTGTATTTAACAGTTTTCCAATTTGAGGATAATGGAATTTAAATTGTAATACTATAAAATACAATAAAACGATATAGCATCTAGCACAGGCAGCACATGACAATTGCTGCAGCAATCCAGAAAAATCATTAAGTGGTCCACTAAGAGCCTCAGCAATTTTCATGTGCTCGTGGGGGGCGGGGCGGGGAGAGTTTGGGAACCACAGCCTTACGTCATCTCCATTCTCAGGTATATAGGCAATATAATCCACAATATATACATATCCTCCATCCCTAAGCTATTAAATATCTGTGAGATACCTCTTGCATTTCCAATACAGAAGGATATTTTAAACCTGATTTACATCCAACACTTCTCCTTCCAGAAATTAAGCAGCAGAAGCAGAAGCTTCTAGTGTACAATGCCCAGACTTCAGACCATGTCTGGTATTGATAAAGACTGAGCTATAAAGCCAGCTACAAAATATACCTTTTTGTGTCAGGGTGCGAAGCATCACTGCTGAACAGATAATCAGCAGCATCCTGGTTTGTGATCACTCCTCCTTCAGCAACTGCAGAAAAATGTCACAAGGGAATAATCCTTCTTCTTCAAAATATACTTATTCCTTGAAATACGGGTTTTGAAAGTTGCAAACATAACATGTATCCCTTGCATTGAACTGTTGTTGTTTACTAATTCTTTATTAAACTTTTTTGAAGATGCAAATTAAAAATGAAGCAAATCAGAATCAAGGGGTGAGTTAGTAGCATAACAGGCTTAAGGCAGCTTAATAACGAAACATAATGGTATTCTTAATACTTTCTCCTTTGTGTTATCTTTACAGGAATTTCTTTACAGGGTGTTTCTTGACAGAGTGCAAGGTGAAGAGATAACTCAAAAGGTTCATAGTTTATATTGAGGGTTGCGGGGCAGACATTATTCTTTACACTGGTGTATAGTCTCTCTTGCCTCCTTGCTAGGAGGGGAGATAACTCGGCTGAAACAGAAAAAAATAAAAATCTGCCTTGCTTCTTCAGCCTCCTGCCTCCATCCATTTATCTCTGACCGATCATAGGGGACTCAGTCCTTGGGGAGTTGGGCAGCAAAAGCCAATCACCCCTATTTTTTCTATACCAATAGATAGATAGATTAGATAGATAGATAGATGATAGATAGATAGATAGATAGATAGATAGATAGATAGATAGATAGATGATAGATAGATAGATAGATAGATGATAGATAGATGATAGATAGATAGATAGATAGATAGATAGATAGATAGATAGATAGATGATAGATAGATAGATAGATAGATAGATAGATAGATAGATAGATGATAGATAGATGATAGATAGATAGATAGATAGATATAGATAGATAGATAGATAGATAGATAGATAGATAGATAGATAGATGTTAGATAGATAGATAGATAGATAGATAGATAGATAGATAGATAGATAGATGATAGATGATTGATAGATAGATAGATAGATAGATAGATAGATGATAGATAGATAGATAGATAGATAGATAGATAGATAGATAGATAGATAGATGATAGATGTTTGCTGTGCTGGAGCTCTCCGTCCCTTCAAAGCTAGCTGCTCCCACCAACCCCTCTCGTTCCCATCTCCCATAGGAGCCAAAATAAAATATTTGAGGGGGCTGCCCCCTCCCCCCCAAAAGTTGATGGGCATTGTCATTTCAAATAATGTGAGTGCTCCGTGACAGGGGATCGATTTTGCAAGTCAGGGCTTACTTGCCCCCCACCCCCCCACCCCCATTTTATTCAGTTTGGCACCCCTGCCAACTCCCTGCCCTCAATGAAAACACAGAGTTTGACTTTCACCCTCAACCTTCTCCTCAGGCTGAGGGATATAAGATCTCCCGCTTTCCTTCCTCAGAGTGTCATGATTTCCCCTCACCCCAAAGGCCGCGGAGCTCATGGCTGACGCTTTGAGAAAACCAGGCGCTGCAGCCCCTGAACATCCTGTTGTGAGGTAAAGGGTGGCCCTGACAGGCCTCCACTTTCCCGCCTTTTTTTTTGATACAGTGAAACCAAAATCCTGCAGAGCGAAGGAAGGAGGAATATGTCTCCACCCGCTTTCCACAACTACATTTGACCAATATGTGCACTCGTTTTCCACAGTGTAATGAACACAAATGAGAGAAAACCCACATAAAATATTGCATTTTTCCTCACAGGAGTTCTTGGCGTTTTGCACACAGAGGGGATCCCAGGCAGTCTCTCCCCCCCCCCAATATAGGCTATTTCGATGCTACTGACTTTCCCTCATTCCTGTCAGAATTCATATCTACCAATTAATCGTGAACAAGGCCAAATCTAGGTTTTGAAGGCCGGTGTGCAAAGTCTCCATTGCTAGGCCCCTACCCCGTTGGTGGGCCTTGCTGGGACTGCCCAGCTATGGCAGGTTGCAATAGTGTGAAAGAGGATTTCTGATATATTTCGGCTGCTAGTGCCCGTCTTGGTAGCATAAAGGGCAATAAAACGGAAAGCCTACTTGAAAACATCTTACAACGTGGGGTCATGGTGAAATTAGGGACTTGATTTTCCACCGACAGTTATGTACATCTATCACAATAAGGGATGGATGAATCTGCCAGTTTTCCCAGTTTCTCATTTTTCCAATCTTACATTCAGTTTTCCACATTTTCGCAGGAAATCGCAAAAAATGTTTTGGCTTTTTTTATTTCAAAAAATCCTTGTAGAAATTGATCAGCATTTTTGTGTGACTTTCTCCTTAAAAATAGCACCCTTCAACCCCAGCTAGCACTGCAGTAGGGTAGTGTAATGAGTGCAAAACCTGTGTACACCGGATATTAATGGTCTACAGACATTTACCCTTTATTAAGACTATTATTTGAACTTTATTCAAGAGCCCAGCAGCACACTGTGAAATTGATATGAGTATTCTTTTTATTGGATTTCATCAAACAAATACAAAAGGACACACCAAAACATTTTTGTGGGGGAACAAGTTTTATCCCAGAGTTATTGCTTATTAACCTTTGCTTCTGCTCCCTGCCATTTCTAAGCTGAATATTTTTCTAATAAATATACATGTGGACAATTTTATACATGTGCTAAACTTGCGCTACATTGTGAACTCGAGAGGATTTTTTAAAAATTAATAATAATTTTAATTTTTTGCCTTTCGGGGGGAAAATAGATATAATTAATCTCTCCTTACAAGCTTACAATTAGGAGTGGTTAGTGTAAGAATTCCGTAGGCCTCAACTGCGATGCCACTTTTAGGGACCTACGTGGGATCCTGCTAACTTTTCAGACATGGCAGGGCTGTGCAGCAGAAATGAAGCTGGACCACAGGAAGGGCAGGGTAGCTACCAGAGCAGGTCCCAATGATAGAGCCAGAGTTATGTCCCAAAAGAAGTCCAGGGACAACTGCCGTCCCCTTTCATTGACAATGGGATCTTAGCACTGGATCATATGAGTTGTCTGTATCTAATAGCTCAGGGTGAAAGAGATCTATTTTACACTAGGTGCTCCTTCTCACCCTGGCTCTATAAGTGAAAAGCAACAAGTCTCAGGGGCTCACTGTTTTGTCCTGCATCGTTCAGACATGGACAAAGGTATGGGTAGAGTTTCTCTGCAAAATTGTCCATGAAAGTGTAGATGTGAGACATATTGTCTGCATTATAAAAGGACACCTGACCACCCTCATAATCCAAGAACACCCCAATTCTAGAGGGAATTTTGGACAGGGCCAGAGGTTTTGATTCCATGTCTATAGCTTTAAACTCATTCTTATTCCTTAGCTTTATAAGCCAGTGACCCTCTTTGGGGGACAGTGGGTAGTTCCCTTTACGGTTAATGCTCTCTCTCACAACCCCCAAGGTCCATTTGGTCTTGTTCCATGTCTCCACTTCCCAGTAGTGTCTCCCAGTGGTGAACCCTTCAGCCGCCAGGACAGAAACGCTGCAGTCAAATCTCTCTGGAACGTCCGGCAAAACTAGCTTTGTGTCAGTATGTCTCACGCAGGTCATCCTGTCAGAGAGAACCAAGTTTGGATGTGCGGTTTTGGGGTCCAGAGTCAGGAAGGAAATGTCTGGTGGGATCAAGAAAAACATGACTATTGTAGCATTGGAGACATTTAAGGACAATTGTGAAAGTGTAAAAACACCCAATAAATAAGGTTCTACTGTCAGAATGTGTTATGAAAAAAAAATTATTCCTCAGTATATGATGTTCTCTTTAATGCACCAGCTAAGGTCTTAATTCAACAGCTTTGCTGAAGCTAAGCAAGTCTGGGTTTGGCAAATGTTGAGTTTGGAAACCACTAAGAATTCTGTTTAGGCTGTCTTAAGTTCCATAGTGGAAGAAAAATGAGATATAAATACATGAAAAACATTAAGTAAACTTTTTTCTAGATGTAAAGATATGCAAGCTATTCATGAAAACCTGCCTTCCCTGCCCCAACAATAAAGTAATACAATGTCAATTTATTTTTTGCCACTTTCATTTTAAAGTTTGCAGTCCAAATGCCACTTAACTCACTAATGCTGAACGGCAGTATCTTCAGCTACAGCACCTTTTAGTGTCTATTTATAGACTGTAGGCATTGAGTAACTAGATATCTCCAATATTGCTAAAGGAAATAGTTGGATATTTGTGTAATGGTTGTTGAGAAATGTTTTTGGAAATGTTGTAAATTGGATTTTCAGAAACTTGTTGATGAATGAATAGAGCATTCCATTCACCTCTATTCACTGAAAAGTTGCTTCAGCATCTATATGTAGTGATGAAGCAGAGATTTAAAATGGAGATTAATTCAGCAAAAATTGATGTTCCGTGTATATTGGACTCCACAATATAATATTTAGAGAAAGGAATTTGCTAGTTCAGGCAGATGCTGGTGATGTAACACTGAAAACACCTCTTTGAGGTATCTTCTTTTAGGTTAGAAATTATTGTTCATGTTAACTTTGTTTTGAAGAAACTGATTGGTAGATGTTTGCACTCTCTTGAATTATATTCCTGTGTTGTGGGGGACTAACAACAAAAAATGATCCTGCAAGCCCTTATTGTGGTGAAAAAGAGGAATCAGAACACTTATGTGAAGCTCAGTGACTACCTGTCTTTTCCCTTAAACCATTTTACAGCACGGTCCTATACAAATTTATGGTGCCTTTCCTGCCAAATTTGATGCAGTGCCAAATTTTCTAATGCCTTGCTGCAGTATCTTTAGAATTACTCAGAAGTTAGTTCAGTGGGGCTTACTCCCGTGTGTGTATAGAGCTGCAGCTTTTGTTTGATTTAAAGATGAGTAAGTGGTACAGGACAGGGATGCGGGTGGCGCTGTGAGCTCCTGTTGCTCGGTCCCTGCTCCTGCCAACCTAGCAGTTCAAAAGCACGTCAAAGTGCAAGTAGATAAATAGGTACCGCTCCGGCGGGAAGGTAAACGGCGTTTCCGTGTGCTGCTCTGGTTCGCCAGAAGCGGCTTAGTCATGTTGGCCACATGACCCGGAAGCTGTCTGCGGACAAACGCCGGCTACCTTGGCCAATAAAGCGAGATGAGCGCCGCAACCCCAGAGTCAGTCACGACTGAACCTAATGGTCAGGGGTCCCTTTACCTTTACCTTTAAGTGGTACAGGACACAGCTTTACCTGGGCTGAGGATGGATTTCATTTCCTTCCATACGGCATAATGTATGGGCCCTTTGTAGTCCCCTGCATTCAGAGTTCCGATCACTAGTTCACCCAGAGATGAATTTTCCGTTTTCTGTTCCATCCTGCACAAATCATGAATTCATATTCCAGTTAGCAGGAAGTGATACTGCCTGAAAAAAAGGTTCTATAAACAACCATTATAGTGGTTCACATATCAAAACAAATCTTCATTGCTTAGCCAAAGGCCATCAAAGAATTCAAAAATACAATGACAATGTGGGATGCACTGCTCAAAATATACTTAAAACATGTTTGCATAAGATAATGCATTACTATATTCAGTATTGTTGACAGTGATTAAAACCTTTAAGAAGCATTCCAGAAATGGCTACAATAGGACCCTATAAATGAATAACAATAACAATAACAATAACAATAATGGTGCAGCAGTAGTTGGAGCAAGGGAGGAACGGAAAGATAAATTTTCAGCAGCATGTACTAGTATGCTTCATGTTCACATTAAGCCATAATTTGCCTGAAGATACATTTGTGACCAATTAAAATATAAGTTCACTATGGTTCTCATTTTCCTAATATTAAATTCAGTTCTCCACATTTCTATAGCAATTTAATATTCTGTCCATCCCCCCGCCCCCTAAAAAAGTTCTTTAAAATTTGCCAGCATTTTTGGGTGCATTTCTCCTACTAAGCACACATTTGTATGCAATTTTGACAAATGTACATATTTTTGCAATTAATGGCCCCTAATATAATGCTATTTTACATGTTATTTTAACTAAAATGTACGATTAATTTGGATGCAGAACTTTGAAAAATTCAAAGTAGTGCAAATTTTGATGGCTAGCTGTGTTTCAGTTCAGAAACTGTTTCATAAAATGTGAAATACTGAGGTAGTTTCTCCTCAAAATGCAAACAAAATCAAATTTCTCTTCCATCCCTACACTCTGACATATGCAAGCAGAAGAGAAGCGCACACTTGAGGCCAAGGCTCGTGCTACCTCATTCCTGTAATATTAAATTATGCTACAGGCAACTCTCAACTTATGTGACGCTTACGTTCCGGAGATAGCACACAATGCAAAAATTGAGTGTAGTCAAAAGACATTTGGCGCAATGGTGAGGGAAATTGCCATAGGTTCCCCCCCCCCCGCTGCCCAAACATCACCCACTTTCCACCCGCTATGTGTGTGTGTGTGTGTGTGTGTGTGTGTGTGTGTGTGCCTGGAACCCAAGCCTCAATGTTCACAAGTTAAATATGTGTAAGTTATGAGTTACCTGTATAGTGTTATGTCTGAACCAGGCCCTACTCTTCTGTAATATGAAATATTGCCCTTAATTACATATGGCGAAACTTATGAGCCCTATTTAGCTATTTAGCATCCATAGAAGATACCAAGAACCAAGGTATCAAGAATGCATAGCCTGGTCCCTTGGAGAACATCCTGCCATTGGCACACATGCCAACTTTCGAGGGCATGGCTAGTATACTCATTCCTGCTACCCACCCTATCACACTCACATTTGGTACCCACACCTGAATAAGGCTTGTCCCCTGACTGATTAAAGAAAGCTTGCCTTACTGTTTTGATAACACTTGCTCACAGACTCACACTTACTTTTCCATGAAAGCTTTTATTCCCTGTCAGAGGAAAGGAGAGAGAGGGGAAAAAACAGTTATTTACTAATGGTCTTTGGGACACACTTTCAGCATATGTGGAACCTAGCAAACCCAAACAGAACAGGTGGTTCATTGTGCCAGAAACCAATCGATGCCCCTCACAGCCTGCCTGTCTCCTCTCCCAGAAGGTGTTTCTTTTCTCACAGATGTTCAAGGTGATCTAAAAAGCTGCTTTCACCAAATCTCTCTGCGAGGCTATAAAAACATACTGCTGTTGCTGTATCCCAGATTCCCTTCTTCTGTTTTCAGCTTCCATTAATAAAGGGGCAAAACAACTCTATGTGGGGACAGGGAGGAAGGAAAGCAGTAGATTAACTGCCACGTCCTAAATCCTACCAGCCAACTAGTGTGAATTTTCTCCTAAATCTTTGCTATATCAGCTCCAGGCTAGCATAGGTGTTAAGGCCCGAGTATCAAAGCCTTCTGGCAGCAGGCATTGTGGGGTAGTGAATTGGCATTCTCTCTCTCTCTCTCTCTCTCTCTCTCTCTCTCTCTCTCTCTCTCTCTCAGGCCACTGCTCACCTCATTATTAGCTTGGCTAACTGGCTTCCTGCCTCACCTCCATGTAAGAGGGCCCAAATACGATTTGTGCTTTAGCTCACAGAAATTTAGGGCTTCTTCCTGTGCCACAAATTGCTGGACATTTTGGATCTCCCTGGTTAAGACCTTCAGAGCTCAAGTGATGCAGTCAAGGGGAAACACAGGGTAATGCAACTCAGAGCATCATTTCCTGCAGCTGGAAAACTCCCTTTTTTCAATAACATATTCCTTATTACTGTGGGCTATTTCCTTATACTAAGCATGCAGTGACTGGACTAGAAATCTCTGAAATAACCCATGGACAATATCCCAAACAATGTTGTACAGTTAAGTCCAAATTCCTTACTTTCAGGAAGCCAGCAGAATTCTGCTGGTACAGACGGGCCTGAATGCAGACCAGGGTATCCTTAGCACTCTGTGTTTGGTCTTGGAGTTTGTTTAGATTTGCCTCCATTTCCTGGAGGAGAATTTCACCCTCTTCTTTTAACTGATTGATGTACATTTTCTCCTTGCCATGAAGAAACTGGTGCAGTTTTAGAAATTCCAAGGAAATGTGGTACTGAAATTGCAATCTGTTCTCCTGGGAAAAAAGTAATTTATCAGACAAAGCAAAGGGTGCTCTAGCAGCTGATATAAATATTTTTATAAATAAATAAGATCTCTTTTTTTGAAAACTGTTGTCTATTACTGCTTTGTAATATTTCAGTGACCCTTTCGCAGTATTAAGACCCCATCTGGAAGCACACAATTATTAAAATAGCAACATTATTGTTGGGGGGATTCTCTAGATTTTCTTTTCCTCTTTAATAATAGGGAATCAAGAGCAAATTCAAAGTGCATCCTGTTACAACTCCAGACAAGCTTACTTTTATATCAGGGGTTGGCAGACTTCAGGCATGTCAAATTTATTTTATTTATTTCTTACTAAAATCACATGATCTGTCAACCAGACCTTGTGCAAAAGCCGTATAGTTAGAATTAAAGAACAAGGTATCTCTGAGTACATCCTGATCATAGCTGTCAACTTTTCCCTTTTCTTGCGTGGAATCCTATTTGGAATAAGGGAATTTCCCTTAAAAAAAGGGAAAAGTTGACAGCTATGATCCTGATATTAGAATTTGTTTTCAGTACCAGAACTGAACAGAGCTCACAGACTTTTCAGACAAAAGTTAGCTTGGGCTGTGTACACATTACTAGATTCAAACATAGTTGGGGCATTTTCCCTCCACTGGATTTCAAATTGCATTTGCACATCATTGATAATTATAATAAGGGTGGTGATGATAATTTCATTACATATTGTTAAGTGCCTCAGTATGGCTGGATGTCTTTCTAAGTAGCCTGGTGTCTGTTCACACCATTGGATGGAGAGAAGATGAAGGTGTCTTGATATTGTTCAAATAAGATTGAAGCTACTTTGGGGGGAACTGCATCAAAACACAAAACTTCTCAAGAAACTACAGAACAGATGTGGATTGTGACTAACAGTTGCATGTGTACATGGTTTCACAAACCAGTGGTGGGAGCACATTGGGTTCAGAGTAAACTGAAGCATGTGAACAGCATTCTAGTTAGTTAGCTTCCTTCTTTCAAGTGATTTAATGTGGGTATGGAAAACACTGTGTACACACAGCAGTTTAAAGTGGATTCAGTGCATTCCATGTGTGCCTGTTTTTCACACAATGTTATCCTCATCCAAAGGGCAGCCTATACTTTCCCTCCTTATAATCTGAATTTTCCTTAACTATGGATAAAGCAGTGTAGTGGCGGGGTGGAATCCAATATAAAATCTCATGTTACCCAGTTGTGGGTGTACTGCAGTTCACTTTGCGGATGGATGACTGAGTGGGGCATTTTTTACATGTATGGTGACATTTTTCTTGGTCCCATCTATTTCCACAAACCACTATGTCCAATGGTGAGGCACTCCTTAAAAGCCTACTACTGGTGTGGCTAGGCACATTTAAAAAATTGCATAGCCTCCAACATTTCTCCAATGAAAATAGGTACGTCCCATTCCATAATGATAATTTTACTATTTATACATCATACATCTTACTGGGTTGCCCCAGCCACTCTGGGTGGCTTTCAACATATAATAAAACAAAATAAAACATTAACCATTAAAAAAAAAAAACCCTTCCCTATACAGTATTGCCTTCAGACAGCTTGGGGGTCGAATAACTCCATACCCTCCAACATTTCTCCAGTGAAAATAGGGACATCCTAAGGAAAAGCGGGACATTCCATGATCAAATCAGATATCGGGACAGCTTCTCTAAATCAAGGATGTCCCTGTTAAATAGGGACACGGAGGATCTGAAATTGTTTGCCTCTTTTGTGCAAGTCTGGTATATCTGATGACTTGTACCTCAAAAATAAAAAAATAGGTCATGCACAGGTAAACAAATACGTGAAGGCATGCCCACTATGGTCCTCTGGCTTCCAGAACTCTGGGAGGGTTGGGAAGTGTTAATTGAGAGGAGAAGTCGGAAGCTCATAATGCAAACACACCTCATCAAGCACCACCCACAAGTGTGGATGGGAAAGCGTTCAGAGAGAAATCAATTGAAAGAGCTCATGTGTGGACAAACATGCACCAAAGCTACAAGGAAAAATCGGATCTGTGAGACCCACGTGTGCATTAACACTCTGGTGTATAGACAAAGGAATTTTGCTGCTGCTATTCTTAAACACGGGACGCGGGTGGCGCTGTGGGTTAAAGCCTCAGTGCCTAGGACTTGCCGATCGAAAGGTCGGCGGTTCGAATCCCCACGGCGGGGTGCGCTCCTGTCGCTCGGTCCCAGCGCCTGCCAACCTAGCAGTTCGAAAGCACCCTTGGGTGCAAGTAGATAAATAGGGACTGCTTACTAGCGGGAAGGTAAACAGCGTTTCCGTGTGCGGCTCTGGCTCGCCAGATGCAGCTTGTCACGCTGGCCACGTGACCCGGAAGTGTCTGCGGACAGCGCTGGCCCCCGGCCTCTTGAGTGAGATGGGCGCACAACCCTAGAGTCTGTCAAGACTGGCCCGTACGGGCAGGGGTACCTTTACCTTTTTATTCTTAAACACACATTAATGCTACTCACTTTATGACTAGAAATCTTCTCCTCCTGAGCATTTTTCAACATCTCGAGTTTCATCATGATGGACCTCAGCTGCATTCTCATCATGAGCAGTTTTTCCTGGAGGGGTGGGGTGGGAACAATTCTATAATTCACAGAATAATTCTATAATTATAAAAATAATTCAGTCATTCTATATCCAAGGAAGGTGATCAGTCCCATTTAAGTTTGCCAGCCGCATTACCAGAGTTGCATGAAATTTTTTAGTGGTGGTTACCGTATTTCTCATCTTTCACAAGCATATTACTACTATAGATAGGCACAGTGCTTTTTTTCTTTAAAAATGTTTAGGGGTACTCTCTTTTTCCTACTCATATTGAAATAAAAAGGTAAAGGTAAAGTTACCCCTGTCCCTCAATGAGGCCAAACTTAGATTCACAAAATGATTAGAGGTATGTGTATCCCCGTGTCGTCCCCCCAGAAAAAAGCACTGGATAGGCATATACTGTAAATATGTGCGTCCTATAACTCTCTGCAACATGCAAGGAGTCCATGACCGAGAGGCAGGCATTCCTTGGCACATGAGTTAATCTGGAAAAGTGTTACTTTTAGTACAGCTAGAAATTTAGAAAATCACTGGCAGAATGCAAGCTGTTATGTTGGCACCATCTCTGTTCTTTTTGAGCTGTGCCAATCAGGAAGTATCTTTGCTTCATGGCTGAGGTTCTTTGATGTAATAGTAATGCCATCTGCAACTAAAACAACTTAAATCACAATACAGTACTAAGTAAGCCAACTTCCAAGTACTGTAAATATATGCACAGGATTGGGCAAGACCTGCATTTGCCGTCTTCATGCACTAGAGGGCAACTTTAACTCACATGTCCTCCATTCACCCCCACAGAAAAATTTGAACTTAAGTCCTAGAAAGTCATAGAACCATAGGGAGGGGAAGAATCATAGGAAGGGACCACAAGAGCCATCTAGTCCAACCCCCTGCAATGCAGGAATATTTTTTCCCAACGTGGGAACTCGAACCCACAACTTCTTCAAGTGTTGTGATACAGTTCTACAACTCAAAATGGTGTAAAAACATGTGCATATATGGGGAAAGCATACACAAAATTTAGTCAAAATAACATACAAAAATGCATGGTATTAAAGAAAATTGGTTGCAAAAATACATATACTAGACAAAAAATGTGTGTATCAGGAGAAATGCTGACAAATATTCATTGCAAACTGATGCAGATATATGGCAAACTAAATTTGCAACGGGACGCGGGTGGCGCTGTGGGTAAAAGCCTCAGCGCCTAGGGCTTGCTGATCGAAAGGTCGGCGGTGCGAATCCCCGCGGCGGGGTGCGCTCCCGTTGTTCGGTCCCAGCGCCTGCCAACCTAGCAGTTCGAAAGCACGTCAAAGTGCAAGTAGATAAATAGGGACCGCTTACTAGCAGGAAGGTAAACGGCGTTTCCGTGTGCGGCTCTGGCTCGCCAGAGCAGCAATGTCACGCTGGCCACGTGACCCGGAAGTGTCTCCGGACAGCGCTGGCCCCCGGCCTCTTGAGTGAGATGGGCGCACAACCCTAGAGTCTGTCAAGACTGGCCCGTACGGGCAGGGGTACCTTTACCTTACCTTAAATTTGCAACTGGAATAATCAAATGTGACAGATTCATCCACATATAAAAAAGAGGAGAAATTCTTTTTAGAAATATTTTAAAATAGAAAAAAAATACTTTAAAAATGTTTTCTGATACAGATGCTGTTTTGCTCATCATCAGGAGTGACATGGGTGCTACCCAACATGTGTTTGTGCTACTCCGCACTATTCTGCACACGGCAGCCACAGTTGCAGTTGATACAACATCATGAGTGGCAATAGGCTTTCCTGGGTACATAAAATTTTCCTTCTGCACAAAATGCAACCACGAGAAAAGCGGTCCATGAAGCAACTAATCTGTGCCACTTATGTGTGATAAAGCTGTTTGTTTGTTTGTTTGTTTGTTTTTTGGTAAGGCTCTAAGCTGCATCCAGTTAGCAGAAAAGTCTATTTGAGCTAGAGGCCTGCTTACTGAATGGAAGCATTTTAAAATGTTTGTACAGGATCATCTTCATCCATTGTTAAAACATTATCCAACCAGCCAGGAGGTTGTGGGTGCGGGGAGCAGGTGGCCCCAAAACTGGATCTTTTGAGCTGGGCCCCCAATTTCCTGACCCTTCCCCCTTAAAAAACAAAACAAAAACTTTTTAAACAATGTTTATAGGGCAGCTGAGCATGCTGCAAAGCAAGGTGCTGTTGGGACCTCAACCACCCAACTTCATTTTCCCAGAGGAACACTATACATTCATGCAAATTTGTGTCACAGGCAGGTACTTTTAAGTCCTTAGCAACGCCCAGCTAGCTTGAAAACATATATACACACCTTTGATTTCAATGGACCTGATAAGTAGGTACTTAGGTGTTTCCCTTTGAAACCAGCATGGTTTTAAAAAGTTTGGGTTGTATTTAGCTAAGGGCTTGTCCACACTTACCTTTCCTCCAGGTAGGGGCGCATGCATCCACTTTAAAACTCAGTGTTGAGCACCTCCTCTTCTTCTTCTTTTGTTCCTGAGATTTCCCCTCAAAAACCCGCTCATTAAAGCTGAATCAGAGCAAATGGCAATCTGCAGAAAGCCTAAATGACTGACCTTGGGCCAGTCACACTTCTTTGAAGTCTCTCAGCCCCACTCACCTCACAGAGTGTTTGTTGTGGGGGAGGAAGGGAAAGGAGAATGTTAGCCGCTTTGAGACTCCTTAAAGGGAGTGAAAGGCGGGATATCAAATCCAAACTATTCTTCTTCTTCTAAATTGCCATTTGCTCCAACTGAGCGCCAAAGCGCAGGTTTTTGCAGGGAAATCTGGGGCGAAAATAAAACACTTGACACAGAGCTTTAAAGCACAGAACAGTGCCTGGGTCATAAAGGTAAGTGCAAATCAGCCCAGAGCCCTACTCCGAGTTGACCCACTGAAATTGAGAAATCCAAGTTAGTAGTGTCCATTAACTCCAGTGGGCCTGCTCTGAGTAGGACTAGCATATTGCCATTTGAGTTTGGCTGGATCATTTCCCATGTTTTGATCCGGCCTTGGTAAGATGGTTACCGTATAAATCTGGACGGCATCTGGGATAAGGAGAAACTGGGTGCTTTGTTCTTTGGGCTGTTGAGTTTCTCGGCAGCTGAAGCAGGCTAGCTTTTCTTGCGGCTTCCAGTAGAGGGTGTATGGCTCGCTGTGTTCTATGCACTTCTGTTGCTGGCACCCCACGTGAAAGGTCTTAATCCTCTCCGCCATTTTCTCCAGTGTTTTGTTTGCTATGAACTTTCGCTCTGGAACGCTCGCATGGCATTGTGGACAGAAGACTCCCTTTTTCCCCCATACTGCCTCTAGACAATTTTTGCAGAAGTTGTGGCCACAGGGCAGAATGACAGGCTCCTTAAACAGCTCTAGACATATAGCGCAGGATAACTCCTTGGTGAAATCATCTGCATGTATCTCCCAAGAGGTTTCAGAAGAACTGGCGCCGGCAGGTTGGGCTTCTTTTTCAGTTGTGGTAGTAAATGAGGTAGTTGAAGGGTTTTTGCTAGCGGGTGTGGACATTATAGCAGAAAGAAATGCCCTAAGGCAACAGTCAAGATAGGGCCATCCTGTCAGATGAAAAAGGAGTTAAATGAGCTTATCATAAAGCACAATAATCAAGGCTGGGCGGCAGTTATGTGAGGACATCCTGCACTGTGGCAAAACTCTACTCGATGTGAGACCTTTCAGTAGACTCTTCCCTCCCAGGGCAATATCATTGCTATTTGTACATTTCTGAGAACAAGTCAAAGTGTTGGTGCTGACCTTTAAAGCCCTAAACAGCCTCGGTCCAGTATACCTGAAGGAGCGTCTCCACCCCCATCGTTCAGCCTGGACACTGAGATCCAGCGCCGAGGGCCTTCTGGTGGTTCCCTCATTGCGAGAAGTGAGGTTACAGGGAACCAGACAGAGGGCCTTCTCGGTAGTGGCACCCGCCCCGTGGAAAGCCTTCCCATCAGATGTCAAGGAAATAAGCAGCTATTTTCTCTTTAAAAGACATCTGAAGGCAGCCCTGTTTAGGGAAGTTTTTAATATTTAATGCTGTATTGTTTTTAACACTTGATTGGAAGCCGCCCAGAGTGGCTGGGGAAACTCAGCCAGATGGGCGGGGTATAAATAATAAGTTGTTGTTGTTGTTGTTGTTGTTGTTTAGTTTGCCATGTGTTACCCAATTAACTCCAAGTGACTTAAAGCAAAAGGAACAAGACAACTCCTATAGCAGCCACAGGAAGCTTTTGGGCATAGTAATAACAAACAGTATTATTGTCTTAGTCAATCAAAAGCCTGGGGGAAAATATAAGTCTTTAAATGATACTGAAAAGATGTCACGAAAGGTACCAGGCACATAGCACCAATAGAGAGTCACAACTGAAAAGACCCTCTTCCTTGTCACCAGTATCCAAGCCTCCCTCAGAGGAGGTCCCTGGAGAAGAGCCTCAGAGGAAGGTCTACTCTAAGGCAGGCATAAGCAAACTCGGCCCTCCAGATGTTTTGAGACTACAGTTCCCATCATCCCTGACCACTGGTCTTGTTAACTATGGATGATGGGAATTGTAGTCCCAAAACATCTGGAGGACCGAGTTTGCCTATTTCTGGTCGAAGGGTCCAGGTAGGTTTGTATCAGGAGAGATGTTCTAGAAGATACTGGGGTCCTGAGCCGTAAAGAGCTTTCAAGGTCAAAAGCAGCACTTTTAATGGGGCTCGGAAGCATATGGGCAACCAGTGTAGTGTTCGCCTTGAGCCTGTCAACAGTCACCGCTAATGCTGCCAGGCAAGTGTGGGGCACAGAGGGTTCGTGAGGTTGTGATGCGCCACCTGCCTGCCTGCCCACACAGGGGGAAGTCCATCTGGCAAGTCAATGCGCCTTTGGTGGGTGCATCCCTCCAATGCTGGGTGGGCGGCCATTCGGTGAGTGGTTCAGGAGCACTGTGGCAAGACCAGGCTGGGCTCTAGGGCCCAGAAGGAAGTCGTCGTCTGGGCAGCCCAGGACATCCATCCACATTGCCCAGGCTTGTGGTTTGATTTCACCCTGGAGGCACACTCCATTACCTCTCAAGACAGGGCAGGTGCCAGCAATAAGGTTACTGCTGCTGGGATGAATATAGTCTCTTCACACAAGGCGTATGGTTTACTCAATACAAACACAGTATCGCCAGGAATTCTGTGTTGTTTGGGGGAAATAAAGCTTTTGTCAGTACCAACCTCCTATCTTTCCACACCAATACCACTTTCCTGCTCTGAATCTCCCTTTCAAAATTACCGACAGATTGAGAGTGGCATTCTATATTAAAATAACTTCCTGTTGCCATCATTTTTCTAAGCAGTTTATTCCCAACTCACCTATTTCCCAGAAATAATGTGTTTCAAGGAGCTATTGTTTTTCTACCACCCTATCTCATTAGGCAGCTTTGCCGTCCTGGCTGATAACTGCCACTCACCAACCGATTTCCTCTTCCAGAAGATTCCATCTGTGTTCCAGTGAAATTATTTGCTCTCTGATCCAGCCATCAGGCTCTATAGATGAGATCAAAGCTTAATTTCCATCAAAACAGGCCTGTTTTTATTCTTTCCTCATGATTGCTGTCCAATTCCTTTATACTGTATAACCAGAAATCTCTCTCACATGGTATCCATGGTCAATAATTACTGATGTATGCTTCTCCATGGTCAATAATTACTGATGTATGCAGGAAAAAAATCCACTTTTGCCTTGCATGTGATAAGGTGTTCGAAAAACATATTTATAATCTTGGTAAAATCAGTTGTTTACCATCAGTTTGATTCCCTCTCCACTCTGGAACTGTGGATGTTGGCCCAGAATATGCTTTTGTGGGTTATATGGTCTGTTAAAACAACCACGAGTTTTATGACACCTTTAAGGCTAACACATTTATTATGGTATAACATTTCATGGTCTACAGTCTAGTTCATCAGATGATCCTGAGTAATAGGTGTATATATACACAAGCACACAGCAATTTCACATTGCAGTCTTCCTTTGATGTTCCTTTGTCCTAGGGTGGCTACTTTTAGATCATATAGTCTCCAGGAAGGTAGACATGTTCCCCTACTTGCTTTTGAACACTGCCATTTCTGATGTTAGATTTGCGATCATTTATTCTTTCACAGAAGGAATGGCCTGTCAAGGGAGAACGCATATGGGCATATAGCTTCTTGCTTGGGGTGTGTTTAGAAACCTGTGTCTGGAATGCAGCCTATTGCAAAAGGTAAAAATCCCATCCATTGCCCATCCCACATTTACCCCTTCAGGACGATCAAAGTGTTTCTGATTGGTCCTGCCTTCTTCTGGAAGAAGAGTTAATCTAGGGGTCAGCAACCTAAGGACCGTGGGCCACAAGCGGCCCACAAACCACCCCCAAACCAAGCGGCCTGCTTGGCTAAAGTGGCGCAACACAGCACAGCGACTTGCTTCCGCGGCACTGGAAATTATGTCTGCGCGTGTGCCGGAAATTGCATCTGTGCAGATGCAGGTAATCGCAGGCACTCACATACACCCGGAGGAATCTCCGCTGGATTGAACCAGCCCAGGCGAGGTAAACCTTGCCAACCCCGAGTTAATCCTTTGCTGTCAGCTCCCCTCTTCTACAGGCCAATAATTACGGTACAGTGGTGCCCCGCAAGACAAATGCCTCGCAAGACGGAAAACCCGCTAGACGAAAGGGTTTTCCGTTTTGGAGGTGCTTGGCAAAACGAATTTCCTATGGGCTTGCTTCAGCAAGACGAAAATGTCTTGCGAGTTCCTGCAGGGGTTCCCCCCCCCTTTTTCCCAAGCCGCTTATCAGCTGATCCGCTAAGCCGCTAAACAGTTGATCCGCTAAGCCACTTAACAGCTGATCGCTAAGCCGCTAATCAGCTGATCCGCTAAGCCGCTTAACAGCTGATCCACTAAGCCGCTAATCAGCTGATCCGCTAAGCCCGCTAATGGGCTTGCTTTGCAAGACGAAAAAACCGCAAGACGAAGAGACTCGCGCAACAGATTCTTTTCGTCTTGCGAGGCACCACTGTATTTATCATAAGCAGAAAGCAGTGAGTTTGCTTTGTTCTGAGCTCTGCAGTTTGTTTTTAGTTTCGTTTTAATTTTTTTAAAAAAGTTACAGTTGCTACATATGGGCAACAAGCATCTTTTACTTATCTTCTTTTTCAGACTCAAAGAGTTATCTGGGATGCCCGCCCCGCCCCCAAGTCATGCAACGCATTTTGAGACATTGGGATTTGAGTTCTGATACAGATATAATTTGAGGCCTATTTTGTGAAGGGAGTACAGTGTGATTTACAATCTCTCTCCTTATTTTGATTCTTAAAGCTCACTTTTAACTGCAATTGTGTAATGAGAGGATAAATATAACGCTCCTTATGATTAGAACATGTTTGTGAAGATCTGCTGATGGATGTAATCTTGCATTTTGTATGCAATCCTGTTTACACTTACCAAGGATAAGGCCTATTTAACATAATAGGACTTACTTATGAGAAAACATGTGTGGGCGTGCCCTGGAAAACCAATAAATCAAGGCCACCAACTGTTACAAAAGGAAATCTTGGTAGAAGTACTTTATTAAGAGTTTAATAAATGCCAATACTAATAGCATTACAAGTTACATTCCAGACAGGCCAAATGAGAAACTAATTCGTAGTCAAAAGTGTGAAATATATAGAATACTCAGAGTAGACTCACTGAAATTAATGGACCAAAGTTACTCAAGTCCAATAACTTTAATGGCTCTATTCAAAGTACAACTAGTACGTGATGCAACCCAGAAGCCTTTCTACTTGCTTCTTTTTGGAAAGATTCAAATTCCTACAGTATAATGAGAAGGATGGGAAGGATTGTGTCGATGAACACTTTTATTGCGTGTAAATAATGTTGTCTTGTCTTTTCCTCTTTTGACTTCGTATCTTTGTTATTTCTTTATTTTTTCCTCTTTTTCGTTCCTTTAGAAATTTTCTACATCATTTTCTTTTTCTTCATATGTAAAGAGATAGCATATGTTTGTACAGATATGTAAGTTTTTAATCAATAAAGAATATTTTTTTTAAAAAAATCCTGGAAGATTTTGCTGATAGAAGTATTTGAAAAATCAACAGAAGGTTACTTTTTTTTTTTTTATGAAGCCACACTGCAAATCACTGAATGTTACAATAAATGCATGACTGATCAGATTTCCGAGGCCATCTTCAATTGTCTGCCTACAGTGGACACACATATATGAAAGCCCACATCATACACTTCAAAGTTGCAAGCACGGCCCATCAGCAGGTCTTGATGTATGCGGTTCATGATGGAAAACTATCCAGAAAGCTACAAAATCAGTAGAAAAGCAGGAACAGCGTCGGAAGAATGTTCAAGGAGCAATAAAAATTCAGGCTCTTTGGACCTGGAGAGAAAAAAACATAAAACCAACTTTTATACTGACTCATGTGGGGAAAAAATCAAATGCTGCCAAACTACAATTAACCTCAATGTGGTCTTGAGCATCATTATTGCAACCTAATCTTGCCTGTTAGTGGCAAGGGAAAGCAGAAGAGATATATAGAAGTGCACTTTGAACAGTGAGAAATATTGGGAGAGCTGGCTAGGGGCTGAGCTGCAAATCCAGAAATCTCTTGGTTCATCAGGAACTCACCGAGTGGCCTTGACCAAGTCACCCCCCCCCCTCTTAGTCTCAAGCCCCTGCCTCCACCCCAATATAGGCGGCAATACTGATTTCAGAAGGGTTGGGGAGCATGTGGTGTAGTGGCTAGAGTGTTGGACTAGGGTCTGGCAGTTCAGGGTTCGAATTCCCAAATCAGCCAAGAGCCTTGCTGGGTGACATTGGGCTAGGCATGGGCCTTCTGGCAGTTCCCTCACTGCAAAAAGTGAGGTTACAGGGGACCATGCAGAGGGCCTTCTCGGTGGTGGCGCCCGCCCTGTGGAACGCCCTCCCATCAGATGTCAAGGAAATAAGCAGGTATCTGACTTTTAGAACACATCTGAAGACAGCCCTGTTTAGGGAAGTTTTTAATGTTTGGTTTTTTATCGTGTTTTTAATATTCTGTTGGGAGCTGCCCAGAGAGGCTGGGGAAACCCAGCCAGACAGGTGGGGTATAAACAATAAATTATTATTATTATTATTATTATTATTATTATTATCATCATCATCATCATCATCATCATCATCATCATCCCAGCCTAAACTACCTCATAGGACAGAGGATAAAATGGGAGCAGAGGCAGAGAAGCATGCATGTTACCTCGCGTTCCTTGGGTGGGGGGAGGGAGGTGGGATATACATGAAATAATAAAATAAAAACGGTGTTGGACTTTAGGGGAGAAGTTCATCCTTGCATGTATGTGTTTTCCTGTTCCCTTCGTATCATGCCTTTCTGTACGACTGTGGGGCAAGGCTGCTTTGCTCTTCTGTCACAAACTACAAGGAGTGGCCTTTTTACACAGCGGGAAATGCTAGGTTTCATATACCAGCTCCCCCCAAGGGAATGACACAGTGGTTGTAGATGGGGCCATAGGAAGTTCAGCACACATTCAATATAACCCTTGTGGTGGGTACATTTTATGGTTTGCATTCATTTTTAAAAACCAGTCTGTTCCTTACTGCTAAGAGTTATCTGTGTGGAACTGTATATATAGTTCCGGACTCCCGTTCGCAACATGAGCAGAACACAACCCGCGTCTGCGCGGGTCGCAATTCACCGCGTCTGCGGCGTGCGCATGACGTCATTTTGCGCATCTGCGCATGCGCAAGTGGCAAAACCCGGAAGTAACCCTTTCCGGTACTTCCAGGTCGCCGCTGGACACAACCTGAAAAAATGTATCAAGAAGCAAACGCAACACGAAGTATGACTGTAGTGTTATGTTACCACACCATAACAGTAAAATATCATTCGTATTATGACGTTATAATCCACCAATGCTGATTTTTTAAAAATAGTTTGCTGCCGCCGCATCCCCCACCCCACCCAAAAAAACACCCACCAACAGTTTCTGGTCATTTATCAATACAGTTGCCAGTGACCAAAAAGCTATTTTTAAAGAAATCATTTAAAATCAACACTGAAAGGATTTGGTTGGTACTGTCATCCATGTTGTAGCATGCCCAACCCAACTCACTGGGAGAAGTGAAGTTACAGGGAACCAGGCAGAGGGCCTTCTCGGTAGTGGCGCCCGCCCTGTGGAACGCCCTCCCATCAGATGTCAAGGAAATATACAACTATCTGACTTTTAGAAGACATCTGAAGGCAACCCTGTATTGGGAATTTTTTAACGTCTAATGTTTTACCATTTTTTATGTGCCGTAAGCCACCCAGAGTGGCTGGGGAAACTCAGCTAGATGGGCTGGATATACATAATAAAATTATTATTAATTTATTATTATTATTAGCATACATGGGCAGGCTGAAAATTATGTGCTGCGGCAAGTGCAACAAAATGGCTGCCTGCCATACTCCTCCTTCCTCCTATTGCATAAACAGGAAATGTGGCTGGGGAGGAGGGAGAAGGGCAGCAGTAGAGGCAGTTATATTGTGCCTCTCCCCGAGAAAAGATCAAGATTGAGCGGGAGAGCATGAGATGCAAGGGAAAACTAGCTGTGTACAACCGGTGGTGGGTCAGGATGGGGAGGACAGTAAAGAGGAGTACATATGGTTGGGGGGGATAGGGTCATAGCCATCCTGCTTTGCATGCAGAATTCCCCAGGTTCAACCCCAGACATTTCCTGGCAGGGCTGGGGGAAGACCCCTAGAGAGCTGCCAGTCAGTGTAAATGATGCTAAGCTAGATGCACCAATGGGATGACTCACTAAAAGGGTGCTTTCAGTTTTGCATTATACCCCAAGGGGGTATAATATGTTCAATAGGATATTCATCACAGTGGCTGCTCCCCCTGACCTGAATGCTGGTTAAAAGACTTGAGGGTTCGCCCAGCACATCAGAAGTTAAGAGAGAGGTTTGGGGCTCTGAGGGCTTCCCACATTCTCATTTACTCTGCCCAGCAGATTTCAGATTCTCACAGCATTCTACAGTCTTTCTTTCCTTATGATTGTAACCAGAAAAAAATATTTTAGCAATAAGCAATTCCTTTGGGGGAGAAACCACCCACAAAAGCAAGGTGGCACCCACAGTAAAAGTTCTAACAAATGTGTGCTGAGCTGTGATAGATTCAGTTTCCTGATATACATCCAAGACTGACTCTTGAATAAAAGTCAGAAGAGTGGCCCAAAGGGCATCTGCACTGAAGAATATTGTGCTACTCTTCTGTTCCTTCTGAAAAAAGTTGGGCTTTAGGCCCTTTGAGAAAAAGAACCATGGGGAAAATACAGAACAGACTGGGTGCTTTTGGTGTGTGGATGCCTTGTATGAAGGGAAGAAACAAAGCACAGCAATTCCACACTAAGGCTCCAATCTGAACTCTTTACCTGAGAGTAAGTCCCACTGAATTCAACAGGAGTTACTTCTGAGTATACATGGTTAGGATTACGTACACTATAAATGCCTAACATGGAAGCACTGAAGAAGCCTTGTGCCCCCCACCTAAAGTTAAGCTTTTGAACCCCCAGCATTTTGAAATAATTATTATATATTAAAATGTGTTGTATTCAGCTTTTTATTTAACTCAGAGTAGCTACACTGAAATAGCTACAGCTAACTTTGCTCCATGAATTTGAATGGGTCCACTCTTGAGTATAAGCTAGCTGAATAGAACTATTTTATTAATTTATGAATCACCTTTCATGAGAGTTTCAAAAACAAGATTCAAAAGCAATACAATACCCCCTCACGCACTATAAAGACATATTTTTAAACAATGTGAGGAAAGGGGGCAACAAGAGTCTTTGATTTCTCCACAAAGTATCATCACAAGGGGTAAAGCTATGTTATAGTAAGACACTCGAAGGCAGAGTTCTGGAAAAAAATGGTCTTGCAAATTTGTGGAGAATCTGGCATTACATGGCACTGATTGGCTAGTACCTCAGATGCCACAAACCCACCTACCCTCAATCTCTAGAGCAGTTTGGCCATCTGAAAAAGCTTCCATATTTCCTCAATTCAGACCAACCAACCAACCAACCAACCCCCTCTGACAAATAAATGTCTGGATGGCAATTCAATTTTTAAAAATAAAAATAAAGGCAAAAAGCCCACTGGAATAGTGAAGTAGGGCAGATGGTGGGCCAAACCAAAGATCGATTCACTGCCAGGTACATCCATCACAGTAATTGCAACTGGGAGTAAAAGATATGGCTCAAGAATTAAGTGCAAGTTCCTTTTCATATTATATCTGTTTTCACCCACAGTTTATCACTAGTCCAACACAAAATTGATCGATTTGTCCCTTATGAGAGAAAGGAAAGGTATTTATTTACAGTGGTACCCCGCAAGACGAACGCCTCGCAAGACGGAAAACCCGCTAGACGAAAGGGTTTTCCGTTTTGGAGGCGCTTCGCAAAACGAATTTCCCTATGGGATTGCTTCGCAAGACGACAGCCCATAGGGAAATCTCCGGGACAGCGGGGAAGCGCAGCGCGTCTTCCCCACTGTCCTCGGACCTCCTCCCGCCGCCGGACATCGGAACGAAGCTCCGATGTCCGGCGGGGGGGGGAAACGTCTCCTCCCGCCGCCGGACATCGGAACGAAGCTCCGATGTCCGGCGGGGGGGGGAACGTCTCCTCCCGCCGCCGGACATCGGAACGAAGCTCCGATGTCCGGCGGGGGGGGGGGGGAACGTCTCCTCCCTCCAACGGACATCGGAACGAAGCTCCGATGTCCGGCGGGGGGGGGAACGTCTCCTCCCTCCAACGGACATCGGAACGAAGCTCCAATGCCGGGCGGGGGGGGGGAACGCCTCCTCCCGCAGCCCGGCATCGGATGGCTGTCCTGAAGACTTGGGGTGGGAGGAGGGTTTTCCTTCCCACCGCCAACATTCAGAATGCTGTTCTGAATGTTGGCGGTGGGGAGGAAAAACCCTCCTCCCACGCAAGCCCCGGGAACAGAGGAGAAGCGCTGCGCGCCTTCCCCTCTGTTCCCGTACCTGTCCTGAAGGCTTGCGGTGGGGAGAAAAGCCCTTCTCCACACCGCCAGCCTGGCAAGCGGTTTCCCTAGGAACGCATTAATTGATTTTCAATGCATTCCTATGGGAAACCGTGCTTCGCAAGACGAAAAACTTGCAAGAAGAAAGAACTTGCGGAACGAATTAATTTCGTCTTGCGAGGCACCACTGTATTTAAATAAATAAATAAATAATCACATTATCATTCATTAGTTATTTTTGTAAAATAACTGCACTTTTGTAAAAAGTGATGATTAAATTAAATAATAATCATCTATGTCTTACCTTTCCTGCTGAGGGGTCATTTGGTTATTACTCTTGCTCTGCAGAAGAAGAAAACAAGGTAAGCGTCTCTCGGACATAAATTGGTCCAATATTTTATGACAGCGTTAATCTGAAGTGCCTACAGATTTCTTGCAATTTGCTGAAAGATTATGCAATGAATGTCTACTGCTCTTGCAAAGGATGACTAGTTGTTCATGACAATTTGTAGCAACGTACAGATGCAAATCTTAGCCTGTGAATGTCATCTGAAGACGGGTGTTTTCTGGAGGGACTACAGATGGCAGAGAACAGCTGTTCATGTTTCAAGACTTGACAAGAAAAAGAAAGGGAAAAGAAAGTAGACCACAGTGGCAGATACTCACCCCATTTGACAACTTTTGGGTCAACAAGGGTGCTGTGTTCCACTCTGCAGGCAACCTCTTCTCCATCTGGAGTGACATTGGCATAGACAAGGCGATTGAAGGCCCAGGTTTTATCAAAAGAAAGGTCAGACTGTTTCACATCTTTAAGTGGCTTCCCGCCCTTCTCAATTGTGATGTTGATTTTGGGAGGGTGGAAGTTGTCCACATAGCAATTCACAATGTTTTCTTTGCCCTTCTCAACAGGATAGCGGGAATAAACTTGTACGTTGGGAGTTCCTGTAGGAATGGGTGAAAGAGGCAAAAAGGCAAGGTTTAAGGATACAGGTTATCATCTGCCATGCTTTATTAGCTGCGCACTCAAGGGCTACATCCGACCTAGGAGATAAATTTCCTACCTGGACATTGCTTCCATACAAGAAGCTGCATGTATACAGTGGTACCTCGGGCTACAGACGCTTCAGGTTACAGACTCCGCTACGCTTCAGGTTACAGACTCTGCTAACCCCGAAATAGTACCTCAGGTTAAGAACTTTGCTTCAGAATAAGAACAGAGATCAGGCAGCGGCGGCAGCGGGAGGCCCCATTAGCTAAAGTGGTACCTCAGGTTAAGAACAGTTTCAGGTTAAGAACGGACCTCCAGAATGAATTAAGTTCGTAACCCAAGGTACCACTGTACTGTCAGAGACTGAAATAGCCCATGTGGTCCATTTTGCTACATACACATAGAACAGGAGCCCACTAGTCCAAGGTGGTATCTGGTTTTCAACATCTAAACATCACGGTTTAACGATATATCACTATGTTTGAAGTAAGGGTGGAGCTGTGTAGAGTCATTGGCTGGCTTAACAGATTTCCCCACATAGTGATTTTCTGCTGGTGCCTGCTCCTGTGATTTGCTGCCCCCTTCATGTATTTGAGTTTCTGTGGATACATACAAGTGTCTTTCTAGCCTTACCTGTCCTGGAGGTGCCATGCATTGAATGTAGCAGCATGCAAAGCAGAACTGCCCTGCCGCCCTTCTCCAGACCTGTGAAATCTGTGGTCCTCTAGATTTTGTTGGACTACAACTCCAATCAACCTGAATCACTAGCCATTGATAGCTGGGGCTGATGGGAGCTGGAGTCCTACAACACAAGGAGGGCCACAAGTTGCCTATTCCTGCTCTATGCCATTCATCTTCCCCTACTAGGTTGCAGCCTAACCTAAAGGTGGTTCACAACAGCACTCTACCAGTGTACTAATATACAATAAAAAGAGGGGGTCCCCAAATGCATGTTTTGGGGCTAAACTAAAGATGTCCTAAAGGTAGGTTCCGGGCCTGAAAAACCAGAAGATTGCTGCGTACGTAACTAGGAGAAAAGGGAAATAAAAAGTGAAAGCAACATTTGATCTGAACTCATAAAAGACCAAGACGCCATTTCACTTGCTTTTCTAGCTGCATGTGATAGTAATGAAAACAGAACTGGTCAAAGGCCAATGACTAGTCAGAAAGTCCCTGGAAATGAGCCAGCAAGGGGCAATGGATAAATTATATGTTAATATGCCACCTTGAGTTCCACCGCATTAGTAGTAGCAGATATAAATGTAGGTCTCCACTGTTTGTGTATTTGAAATTAAAGGAACATTCTGGTGTGTGTTTAACTCCTTCCCTGCTGGCCACCTCCTTGCCACTGCCTTTCACTCACTGCCCCCCCCCAGTGTTCCAGATGAATGTTTTACACATCTGGAAACTCAAAAGGCAAAGCAGCTTGGGGCAAGGATTAAGACACATCCCGTCCTCAACCCTGGGCCACAAAGTACAGTGGGTCACCTGCCCTTCATTTTCAGACAACGGCTTCAACTACTGAGTGAAAGGACAATTTCAAGGACAAGATTTCTAATTGTCCGTCTACTCTGAGGCAAAAGTGCACAGGAAGTAGTATCCAGGAACTTGGTCCATTAGTGCAGGGATTTACACTTGCGCAACTTCCCCTCTATTCCCACACTATGGCACACCCTTCCCAAATCCACTGCAGAGGGTTGAAGCAACCCACATAACAGATTTAGTTCATATCCATAAGCACTTAAGCACACTTCCACTTGTCCCATGCCTATAAAGCACAGATCCGAGCAGTTTTTCCTTTGCCTCGCTGCCTTCCCACTTCCACTCTTTAGTGCCAAATCCAAATAAACCGTGACCTGCAGAAAACTCACCTGCCGTTTGTTCCAATTTGATACTAAAGGTCAGGTTTCCCTGGGGGAAAGCGGTAGTGCAAACTGAGGTGCGGATGTACCCTTAATTTTTGCTCTACCAGAACAAGTTACTTAGCGCTGTTAGATACAACCCACCATTATTTTGACATAAAAGCAGCTGTGGGTGTGCTCAAGTTTCATAAAAGCAGCAGTGATTAAGGGGGTGTTTCTGGTCCAAGTGTCCTCTCCGCAAACTGCTATTAGCTCTACAGTGGAAATAAACACCAAGGTGCGTTCTTCTGTGGCAGAGGCTTCAGAGGGGTGATGGGATGGGGAAACAATGTCAGGCCAGAGCTTCAATCTAAAGCACTCCTGCACTGGCTGCTTTTAAGTAAAAATGAAAGCACTGGGAGATCTTGTGGCACACTTCCTGAGACTTGTGTAGCTTGGCCCTGTGAGCCTCTTTTTAAGTTTTCCACTACTGCCCTGGCAGCATTTCCAGCTTTCAACACAAGCTTATCAAGGGTTTTTTTTATGACAGTACTCACTGGTGCAGAGTATGGCAAACTCTCTCTCTCTCTTTCTTTTTTCGCCCACAGCCGCCATTTTGTGATGGCACCCATGACACTTTTATCAACATAAAAGTACTGGTACCTCATTTTTGACCCCAAAAAGTTCTAAAGCTGACCCTTTGCACATACATGTGCTGGAAACCCAAAACGGGAAGGAGATTTTCAGGAAAGCTGTAGGGGGAATTGAAATGGCCCCCAAAACAAGGGTTAGCACATGTGGGCTTCCTTCTCCTGAGTAATATTGCTGGGGGAAGAGAGCATCATGTAGGTGCTGTCACTATGTGGGGGCGAGATTGGGCACAGAGGGCAGCAGCTTTGGGGGGAGGCGGGTGTTAGCTAGCTTAAATACCCCTTTTCTTTCCCCTAGGGAGATAGTGAATATGAACTCTCCCTTCCCCACAAAATGATTGTGGTGTGTGTGTGTGTGTGTGTGTGTGTGTGCGCGCGCGCGCGCGCGCGCATGAATTTACCTGTAAACTGCCTAAATTCACATTTTAGAAATTCTATTCTCTTGAGTTTAACAGCTGTAAAATCCTCTAGTCTGCAGTAAAGGGAGGAGGCCGCGGGGAAGGAAGCACTTCAAGCTTAGCTTACAAAGACGGCACCACATAACAAAAAGTGTCCCTTCTATCAGGATGTTACTGTCTCATTGGAATCAGAAGGTACCTTGAGCTCCAAAAAATCCCACTGAACAGATCCTTCTTCTCGAGTCATCTCCCATTTTGCATTCTAGTGCTAAGACAGCATTTGCTGGGAGCCCTGCACTTGTGGTTTGGGCCGGAAGTGTGACAAAAGAACCAACGATGTTTTTAAGAAGTTAGAAGCACAAAGGAAGACGAAATGTTTCTCAGATGCAGGGAAGCCATCATGAGCCTTTGTTGTTTTCTACTGACTCACTCAGGTCAGCGGCTTCCTTCTGCCCCATCAGCTTTGGCAAAACACGGATTAGGCCCCCCACAAAATACCAAAAAAATATCAAGGAGGCACTCTTAACTCTTTTAATCACCCCAATTACCCAACAGGATGAACTAAAACAACACAACCTATACGTGTTTACTCAGAAGTAAAACAACATAGCTCAGTTGGTTAGGGGAAAAACATACAGTACTTAGGTATACAGGCATATGCAGGTTGTAGGTTCGATCCCCCATAAGGGGGTTAGACTAGATGATCCTCAGGGTCTCTTCTAACTCTTGGATTCTATGAAAAACCCAGTTGTGTTCGAAGCGCTTGCTTAATATGATGTTTAGGATCACAAACACTAAGGAACACAGTAGCACCTTTAAAAGCTCAGGCGGAAAACCTATACAGGAGTAGGACCACAGTGGGACTTGGGGGGGGGGAAGCGTAATTAGTAATTGTTCGCCAAGGTCACCATCCTTATTTCAGAGTAAACACACTTAGAATTGCGGTTTAACAAATTCAGGATAGCACGAGGTTTCTTAGGTTAAAGCCTGCTTGACATATTCCACGTCTGCCACTATGGATCTTTTAATTCTTTAGCAGTGCAATGCTGCATACGCGGCCACCGCGTATATAATTAAAACCCAGCGAGTTTCACGGTGCTAAAGTTTGGGCCAGTGGGCACAGGGTAACCCGTGTCAAGCTACTCGTGAGAACGCGCGCCTCTTAACCTGTTCACGAGGTCTACCCCTGGAAGACAGCCGAAGCGGGAGAGGGAAAGGGTTGGGCGGGCTGCAACACAGCCTTACTTACTTGGAGTGGCCTCCAGGATGCCGACCAGGAGCACGAGCACCAAGCACGACAGCAAGGGAGCCTTCGCCATGGCAAAAGGTGACTCGCAGCGTCCGCTTCAGAGTCTCGAAACTCGGCGACTGAGACAGCAGAACTCGGCCGAGGGAACTTCACGCCCAGAAATCGCTCCTCGCTGACCAATCACAATAACGCACAGATCACGCATCACTAGTAGCCGGGGAGATGTCTCAGCGCAAGCTGGCTGAAAGGCCCCGGGGACTTTCCAGCACATGCGCACTCCCGCCGCTCGATGATTTTTATTTTTTTGTATACTGTATTTTACTTTCAGTTTCCGTTGCTTGGAAGACAGGCCAGTTCCGAGAAATGGGAGAAGGGCGGCTGCGGCAACAAGATAACAATTGAACCAGGGCCAGAGTGCAAGATTTTTTTTTTAATTATTGTTATTATTATTATTATTATTATTATTATTATTATTATTATTATTATTATTATTATTAATGTTCCACAGGTTCAGATAAAGCCTGATACCTGTTCAGAACCTGTGGCATATTAATAATAATTATTATTAATAATAATAATAATTGATAGCACAGAGGTGCTGTGATGGGGCTCCCTTTGAGGAAAGGTTGCAACGCTTGAGACTTCTTAGTTTAGAGAAAAAGCAACTACTACAGTGGTACCTCGGGTTACATACGCTTCAGGTTACAGACTCTGCTAACCCAGAAATATTACCTCGGGTTAAGAACTTTGCTTCAGGATGAGAACAGAAATAGTGCTTCGGCGGCGCGGCAGCAGCAGGAGGCCCCATTAGCTAAAGTGGTACCTCAGGTTAAGAACAGTTTCAGGTTAAGTACGGAGCTCCGGAACGAATTAAGTACTTAACCCGAGGTACCACTGTAAAGGGTGACATGATTTGTTGTTATTGTTTAGTTGTGTCCAACTCTTTGTGACCCTGGACCAGAGCACACCAGGCACTTCTGTCTTCCACTGCCTCCCGCAGTTTGGTCAAACTCATGCTGGTAGCTTCGAGAACACTATCCAACCATCTCGTCCTCTGTCGCCCCCTTCTCCTTGTGCCCTCCATCTTTCCCAACATCAGGGTCTTTTCCAGGGAGTTGCATTTTAAGTAAAAGCACGCATTCTACTCATGTAAAAACACACTGATTCCTGGACTGTCTGTGGACCAGATTGAGAAGGTCCACAGGCCTTAGGTTGCCTACCCCGGTACAGTTAAAGCTATGGTTTTCCCAGTAGTGATGTATGGAAGTGAGAGCAGGACCATAAAGAAAGCTGATTGCCAAAGAATTGATGCTTTTGAATTATGGTGCTGGAGAAGACTCTTGAGAGTCCCATGGACTGCAAGAAGATCAAACACATCCATTCTTAAGGAAATCAGCCCTGAGTGCTCACTGGAAGGACAGATCGTGAAGCTGAGGCTCCAGTACTTTGGCCACCTCATGAGAAGAGAAGACTCCCTGGAGAAGACACTGATGCTGGGAAAGATGGAGGGCACAAGGAGAAGGGGGCGACAGAGGACGAGATGGTTGGACAGTGTTTTCGAGGTTACCAGCATGAGTTTGACCAAACTGCGGGAGGTAGTGGAGGACAGAGGTGCCTGGCGTGCTCTGGTCCATGGGGTCACAAAGAGTCGGACACGACTAAACGACTAAACAACAAAAATGTTGTGACTGCGTTTTAAATACATAGTGCAATTCTGCTCGCAGCACCACAAAAGCCTAGGAAAGTTTCCAAGCAGGGCAGCCAAAATGTTCCAAGAAGCTGGGGCGACTTTCCTGAGGACTGCTTACTACATTAATAATAAATAAATATTTATGCCCCAACCATCTGGCTGGGTTTCCCCAGCCACTCTGGGCGGCTCCCAACAGAAGAATAAAAACACAATAAAACATCAAACATTAAAAACTTCCCTAAACTAGACTGCCTTCCGATGTCTTCTAAAAATCAGATAGTTGCTTATTTCCCCGACATTTGATGGCGTTTGACATTTGGCATTTAACCCTCTTCTTCTGGCACAGGATGCCCTACAGAATCATCGAATGGTAGAGTTGCAAGGGATACCCTGAGGATCATCTAGTCCAACCCCGTGCAATGCAGGAAATCTGGGGATCGAACCTGCAACCTGGACCTTATCAGCTCCAACCAGCTGAGCGAAGCGTTGGTTTGGCTCTCCTTTTATTACCTACATGGGCTTTTCGTTTTTGCATTTTTATGTTACGGACGCAATAAACGACAAGAGTGGGAAGATTTCGCCCGGAGCCTAAAAGATACATAAAGCGATGGTGCCAACCGAGAGGCGAGCCTCGCAAACAGCAGCGATAGCGGTATATTTTTAAATGAAGCCCAGCAGCTGCTGCCCCTCCCTTAACGAGGCCTCTTCAAAAAGAGGCAGGAATGGGAGACGCCGTCGAGGGAAACGCGCGTCCCCGATGGCGGAGGGAGGGGAAGCGGCGGCCGGGGCCGCGCAGGATCTGGTAAGCGACTGGCGCCGGAGGGATCCCCGGCCTCTGTTGGCGGCCTAGAGTTCCACCTCCTCCTTGCTTTCTGTGTTTGCAGCTCCTTGAGAGCCGCAGCGAGAGAGTCCCTGCTGGAGCCGCGTTCAGACGTTCCACCAGCGGTTCTGCCCTCCCTTCGCCCTCCCTCTCTCGGGAAGTCCGGGCGACACGCGTGTTTCTCCTGGATGCTTATTATTATTCTTGTTATTTCGGGGCAACGGAAGACGAAAAGCATCGGGCGGTTTAAGCACGCTTGTTTTAACGAGTTTTTTTGGGGGGCGGGCGGGATGAGTCCAGTGGGGTTTACACGCGTTGTACACGCGCACGTCGGCATGAGCCTCGCTTGAACACGGGGGTGGGGTTTGCGGAAAGAGTAAAGGCTGGAGCTGCAAATCCCAGCGAGGTGTTTCGAGGATGGGGGAGGCCCCTGCGCAGTCACTTCTCTCTAGGACTCGCCCGGGTGCTCTTTATTTTTATTTAATAATAATCAATTTTATTTATACCCCGCCCTCCCCAGCCAAGACCGGACTCAGGGAGGCTAACACCAGGTATAAAAACAATTGATTAAAAGACAACTTAAAAACAAGATTCAAGTACAACATTCAAATGCAGCCTCAATTCAGTAGAAACTCAAATCAAAACCGTTTTGGGGATGAAAACATCAAATCTTCACCAAGGCCAAGACTGGTCCTATGTGGGCCAGAAAAAAGCCACACCACACAGCCTGATTATTACCTGAAACCAGTGCTTTTTTTCTGGGGGATGCATACCCCTAAACGTTTTGTGAATCTAAGTTTGACATCATTGAGGGGCAGTATTTCAATATGAGTAGGAAAATAAGAGTACCCATAAACATTCTTTTTTTAGAAAAAAAAGCACTGCCTGAAACACTTTTTGGTGTGTGTGTGTTCCTTAAAATCCCTGCAGGCTTACTGTAGTAAAACCCTTCCTGCCACAGTCAAATCTGCTAGCTTTTAACAATGCAAGTCTACTCAGAAGCAAGTCCGGTAGAGTTCCGCAGGTGTACTTGATAGTGGCTGTACATTCTTGTAGCTTTGGCTTATTTAATTAACAAGATTTGCATGTTGCTTGATGGTAAGTAAACCTGAACAGTTTACAAAAGCACAAAATAAAACACAAGTTCTCAGTAGAAACAGGTCCTTTAAAACATTCAAAAGAACTTTGGCAGGTAACATGCCTATAAACAGTCGAAGGGAACAAGGGTAGGGTTTTTTCGACTGGTCGCCTTTGGAAATGAACCAGGGCTGTGTAGGAAATGGTAAGGGGTGTGTGTGTTTAATTAATAAATCAAATTTCTATAGCATTCTTCATCTGATGATGACAAGGTGGTTTACAATATAAAAAGTGACCGAGAAGGTTTAAAGAGAGAAACGCATTTCTGGCTGGGTGGTGGTGGGGTCATAGAAGATGTTACGTTGGTTACTGTGACTAGATGTTTGGGAGGAACTAGTGTACACTGAACACTATTGCCATATTTCAAAACAGTGAAAATCTAGACAGAAAATTTGTTTTTTTGCAAAGTTGTTTAGCTTGGGGGGGGGCGTCCCAAGAGTTGTTGAGCTTTTTTTGGCAAGGTCGCAAATTGTTGTTTTGTCGCGTTTTTAAGGGGAAATCGGCACTTCTGGCATGGGCTACCATACGTCCGGATTTCCCCTGGCATTTGACCAATACAGTAATTGTGAAGCTTCTGTTTTCCCAAAATCTTGGAGCAGGGCATGTCCTCCTACTTGAGATTAATACCGTATTTTTCACCCTATAAGACGCACCAGGCCATAAGACGCACCTAGTTTTTGGAGGAGGAAAACAAGAAAAAAATATTCTGAATCCCAGAAGCCAGGACAGCAAGAGGGATCGCAGCTCAGCGCTCCTGCTTGCTGTCCTGGCTTATGGGATAGCCATGCGCAGCCTCTCCCGGGCAGCGGGATGAAGGCTCCCCTTGCCGGGAGAGGCTGCATGTGGCTACGCAAGAAGCCAGGACAGCAAGCAAAATCGCAGCTCAGCGATCCTGCTTGCTGTCCTGGCTTATGGGATAGCTGTGCACAGCCTCTCCTGGGCAGCGGCATGAATTCTCCCCCTGCCTGGGAGAGGCTGCGCACGGCTAAGACTCCCCCAAGAGCTACACTCCCTTTAAAGAGCATGTGAAGCGTGTGTGCGGCTCTTGGGGGTCCCGGAGCCACACACACACTCCATGTGGCTCTTTAAAGGGAGCGCTGAGCAGAGCCTCCCACCTGCATTCGCTCCATAAGACAAACACACATTTCCCCTTACTTTTTAGGAGGGGGAAAGTGCGTCTTATAGAGCGAAAAATATGGTAAGTCTCAAGCCTCAAGTCAATGAGGGAAACTTAACAGGTGACCTGTTGCCAAGGGGAGGCCAAACATCTGAGTCTGAATATGGGTGGGTTAGAAACCCAATGTACTTGCTGTGTTCACATCACTGTAAACCATAGATAATGATTTACCATGAATGCATAGATGGCTCCTTTCCCACCCCTGTGTGAACAGAGGCAAGAAAAAACAATCTCTAGCTTAATGTTGTGTTGTGTCTGAACTGGAAAATGTTTTAGTTCCAAACTGTGGTGTGAAGCCAGGGTTTCTTTTTGGCTTACCAATCACG